CCTAAATCCTACACCCTATCCACGAACGTACCCTAGGCTCATGCCGACAAAGCGAAGCAGGGCCTTCGGATCTTGCATCTCCGAGATGAACTTGGCTTGTTGGGTTTAGGGTTTAGGGGTTTAGGGTTTAGGATTTAGGGGTTTAGGATTTAGGGCTTTAGGGGTTTAGGGGTTTAGGGGTTTAGGGGTTTCGGGTTTGGCTTGTCGGAAGGGTCTTACCGCCTGTGTTGTTGAATGGGGGCTCGCAGGGTTCTATTGGGGCTTTATGCTACCATTTGTGGTTCATGTGGATTTTGGGGGTATTTTATGTGGGGATAGCACCAATATCAAAGCTCGTATCGTATATCGAGCCTACATCATATGTGGCAGCCATTATTGACCCTTTGTTACAACAAAAACGACACGCAACATCCCATCTGCGACACCGTTATAAATACGACGTTTTACCTCTACAAGATCTTCAACATGCCTCATGAAATCACCGTAAAATCAAGCCCCTTGCAGTCAATCCAAACCTTTCCCAACCCATAAGTCGGCAGCCCCGAACGACAAGCGACCACTTTCACCGAGCTGTCGACTGGCTCTTAGAGTAAACCATGAGCCCAAACACAGAGAATGGGCAGTTCTCTAAATTAGGGTCCCTTTTATTTTTATTTTTAGGCTGCCGTGCTATATTTGGGACTTACAAAGGGGCCCGAATTTAGAGAACTACCCAAATGACGAAGTCCTACAATCGCCAAGAGCTAAATCTGAGATCCGGAGCCCTTTTCTGCTTAAGTTCTATAGGACTCTAGGCATCAGGATTATGGAGCCTAGAGGGTTGTGGTAGGCTCGGGGTATAGAGTCGTCACATAAGGGACGGGAGGGCTTTAGTGATGATGTTTCGAAACTCTTGGCCTCCATCTACTTGTGGTTCGGGAAGATCTACAGAGATTCCGCAAACCACAAACCTCTGCTACCCGACGGCCGAGGCACCGAACAACGGTGAGAGCATTCCGGCCCTTTTCGCCCCCGCCGCTCGATCTAAGAGTCTAAACCCTAAAGTTCTTCTTGGGTTGCACTGGGACGGAGGAATTCTCAACAAGAGCCCCTCTGCACTCTGACAGTTGTAGAAGAACGGATCTTCTAACTCGGAGCTTCTTTTACCCCAAATCAGATTCTGACATATGTCCTGAAGACTAGGCGCGGCGGAGTGGGATTCATCGAATGTCAGAGTCAAGCTCCAAATTTCGTCGCGCTTCCGCGATTCTAGGTTTGGCCTCCCCGACGTGGCCACCCGTGAGCTGCTACAGGCTGACGTACCATCACTGCATGTCTCTGGGTGGTGTAGGGACTGTGTAGGGATTGCCGTCAGCCTGCACTGTGTGTGCAACTGCTCCACCTCCTCCCCCTCCTCCCCCTCCTCTTCATTGTTCTGCCACTAGTATACTACTATTACTGTTACTCCTACTACTACTACTACGACGACGACGACTACTACTACTACTACTGCTACTGCTACTGTTACTCGTACTGCAAACTGCCAACTGCCAACTGCCAACTGCCAACTGCTACTGCTGCTGTTCCTCCCACCATCACTTCCGCCACTACGACGATGCTGCTGCTGCTGCTGCTGCTGCTGCTGCTACTGCTACTGTTCCTTTTCGCCGTCATTGTTTTCGTTCCAGTTCCTATGAAGCACATGTCTTGCTCCGATCTAAACTACCGCTTTTCCCAGAGCAGGCTGCCGACACGTCGGGCACAGGTGTGTTCGTGCCTGGCGGCCTTGGCTTTCGGTGGGATCCAACGATCCGCATGCAGAACTGAGCTGAAGGACCGAATATCTCCTGAACTTGAGCATTGAGGGGTTTAGGCTTTAGGATGTCTCCTGAACTTGAGGGGTTTCCATAAGATGTGGACTTGGCAGTGCATATCTTGAAGGGTGGTGTGCGGGGTTTTTAGGATGTTTGGGATGTGGCACCTGGCTCCGCGGAACAGGAAGAGATCTCAGCCGAAGGCGGTCGGGCTCTCGGCCAACATGCTCTCGGCGACTACTCGATGGCTCTCATGGCCTCAGAACTGGTGACATGTCGTCGTGATCGGGCTCATCTGGCTCAGATACCCAGCAGAGGCAGCCCACTGAAAGCTCGGTGCCTGTGCAGTCCAGGAGGCTTTGGTAGGCGTCACCAATGGACCAAAGGAGCCGGCCCCGCAAAAAGCAAGTCCGGATGTGCCAACGGGGATCAGAAGGATGCCGTAGACTATGGTTTCGAGATGTGCAATAAAAACAACGCCCCCTCTGCATTAATACTCAAACTAGGTTGCCCAGTAGAGCCCTTTTGCCCTTTTGCTTTTTGGGGTTTCCTGATTAAAACCGAATAGTAGGAAAGGGTACCCTGATTATTCAGGGGCTACTGGGGAACCTAGCAAAAGACCCCATGGGCGCTTGCTTGACACAATATACGCTGCTCGAAGTGCTTGACTTGATTGGCTGAATGAGCAGCACAGATTTTTCAAAGCTCCCAGAACACCGACACCCCAGACCTTCCAAAAACCCCAAAACCCGGAATCCCGAACCTGCTGTTGATGATATAAATCCTGCATTACCCAGAACAAGGAATATAGGATACTTCCCATAGCTTAGAGATCCTTAAGGTAATGGTGAGGATGTAGATCATCAACCGTAGTAACCGTAGTATATATAAGGAGCCTTTCACCCCTAACCTAAGTTCCAACCGAAGCTCTGCCACTCCAAGCACCGTGATGCATGCACACAGTCTTTTTACTCCCCAGGTTCCGTGGTCCAGGCCTCCCGGAGGATCTATGTACTTTACAGTTTGGGGTTCAGGGTTTTGGGGTTTAGGGTTTAGGGGTTTAAGGGTTTAGGGTTTAGGGTTTAGGCTTCAGGGTTTAGGGTTTACGGTTCAGGGTTTAGGATTGAGAGTGAGGGCTTTCCAGTGGTTTTGTGCTGGCCTCCGTCCCGGCTCTACTTGGAGGATCAGAGGATTTGGTGGACTTAGTAAGTGAGGCGGCAAGTACCTTGCCTTTCGCTCAACTGTGCGGCCTTGCTTGCAGCTTATAGCACTAGCAACGAAGTCCCATCCATAAAGTAGGCTTGGCTGTGTTGTCTTCAGGGCTTTTCGGCTTGGATTATATCGATTTGTTCGTTCTGTTTTTTTGGGGGGGAGGCTAACGCCCCATCATATCAAACCAGGAGCATCTAGAACCTGAGCAGCAGCAGAAGTTCTTTGGAGCGTGTTCCCCCTGACTCATAGGCGCCGTGTTCGAAATCCGATGTCGTGATTGAGCATTAAATGTTGTTGATGTTTTGCTCGGGGTCGACACTGCAGAGAGCATGTGGCTTTGGAAGCCAAGCAGCCCGGCCAGGTGAAGAGTGATCAGTGGTAAGTGTTGATCTCCAGTCTGAAGTGCTGTTCGATTTCATGGCCCCGATAACAAGTCCCCTTAAACTTAAACCCTACAGATAAACACTTAAGCTTAAACCCTAAAGTTAGACCCTTGAACTTAAGCCCTAAAGATAAACCTTTAAGCTTAAACCGTAAAGTTAAGCCCTTAAACTTAAAAACCCCAAAGTCCCCAAGGAGAACCGTCGTTTAAGACCCCCCTTAAAGAAACCCAGTATCCCTAAACCTTAAACCCTAAACCCCTAAAGGCGCCCTGATTCGGCCGGAGCCTCGAATACCGCGCCTTTCCCCACAAAGCCCGAAGAAGCCACGATCTCGGGCTCATACTGTTGATGATATGAATGGGTTAGAGTTTATAGGGTTTAGGCCGGTTTAGGGTTTATAGGGTTTAGGGCTTTAGGGGTTGATGATGATGTAGCCTGTGAACCCTCGTGCAGGGGCCTTATAATAGCTAGAATAGGGTTCTGGGGCTACTTATAAGAAGGAACCCCCAAAATAGTATTGGTGATGTAAATCCTGCATTACCTTAACCCTCAACTATGGGAAGTATGGTGCATTCCTGTATTATGGGTAATGCAGGATTTATATGAACCGTAGTTTCGGATGCCATGCGCCGCGTTTAACAGGTTTTGAGTTTCAGGGCTGTGGGTTTAGGTTTAGGGCTTGGCGTCTAGGGTTCAGGGTTTAGGGGTTAGGGGTTTTGGGTTAGGATTTAGGGCTTAGGGCTTACAGCCTGGCCTGAACCCGAAACCCGAAGCCCAAGCTCCGAAGCTACAGACTTCGAAGCTTGCCAGGGCCTCTTTGCAGCTTTGCAACACCTGGGGGAAGACCAGCTCGCCGTGGCAAGCGCGAGAGAGCCGCAAAACCTCATCAAGAAATGGACATTGGGGAGGGTTACTATGAGGGTACGTTCAGGAACCCATAAGCAGTACTAGGGGTTGCTGTATAAGCTTATGGTACAACGTCTTATATAAGGCCTTAAGTTTCGCTTGTAACTCCGTCCGCCGATTGCATGCGAGCTGACAGACGACTGAAATGTTTGAACCAGGCTTTGCAGAATGGGGCTTCCAAATTAATCCCCTAAACCCTTCATCCTAAATCCTAAACTCTATGTCCTAATCCCTAGACCCAAATCACTCCTAGCCCTTGAGCCCCAACCTCCAACCCCTAGGATAAACCCATGTAAACCCTAAGCCCCATGTCAGCGCAATTCAGCCTCTCACTTCCGCCGCGCACTCGTTCCCCTCCGGCTCAAGGACCAGGGAGATGAAAGGAAGCCAGCTACATGGTATCGGGCATGACATGGCATGTGCCCTTGCTGGACTACGGTTGATGATATAAATCCTCCACTACCCCAAAAAGGTAGGGTCCTTAAGGTAGTGCAGGATTCATATCATCAACAGTATGGCCATCGTCCGTGAATAGGGCTACCTGAGACCCTGTAGCAACTTGCCCGAGCAGTATAGCCTCCTGATCGCAACTAGCTGGCAACGTCATTGCTTAAGACCTCTCAGCAAGCAGATGACATAGCTTGGCAGGAGCTGCCAGCGTTGAATTCCCCATAGTTTGCATGCTGAATCATTAGTTTCCACCGGAATGGATGACTTCACGGAGAAGTATCGCCAAAGAGAGAAAAGGTTCTCTGATCCGCATCTGCGCAATCGAGCCTTGGCAGGAGAAGAAGAGAGCTTAGACGAGTGGGCTGCTCGACTGTGGTATCGGATCGACCGCGACAGAAACGGTTTCATCACTAGCAAAGAACTGGACTGTCAAGAGTTCCACAACATCCTTCGTGCAGCTGTCGCTCCTGTGACCGGCACCTCGACCGGTGGCGCCACCTATGCGCGGAAGCAGGTGAACATCGAGGCTGCTATTCAGCTGCTCGGTTCTTGTTAAAGGATTTAGTTTAAGTTACCATAATAGGGATCTATAGTAAATAATATTGTTTTGGTAACTTCTTTTCAATCCCTTAACAAGAGCCCAGGCTGTGCCTCCGTAAAGCCGACTTGAACAGCGACGCGATCCTTTCCTTCCGTGAGTTCCGCTCGCTGATGCGCTGCCTCCGCAGGCCCAAAATGGCACGCCACACTGCCAACCTGGTCTTTGCACTCTTCGACTTGGATGGGAACGGCTACATAGGCCGCGATGAGTTCCACGACTCTTGCCTGCAAAGCGGGCACCTGCACGACAGCAAAGAGTACCTAAACACGATGGGAGCTTGCACTAATGCCGATGTTTGTGAGTTCGCCTCATGCGTATGCCGATGTTGCTGTCCTGGGCTCTTGTAATCCATTTCAGGAGTTTGAACCAGAATACCCTAGGCTTGATGAGAACTGGACTTCATGCGTCCTAATGCTCTCGCTCATCGTTGCACCTAAACCCTAAACCCTAAACCCTAAGCCCCAAGAGGAGCTGCTCGGCTTTCTTCTCGGCCGCAACCCTCGCACTGTGGAGTTCGAGCCACTTCGAGAGCAGCCACAACCGAAGGGTCTTCAAGTCTAGGGTTTTTTTTTTCGGGGTTTAGGGGTGTAATTAGGGGGTTTAGGGCTTAATTAGCCTGGATTGTGACATGGTTAGCTGAGACTTCCGGATAATGCTCCTCCGTTGCATTTTGCGGCTAGAGCAGGTCTCACGCAATGACTCAATGACCGTGCTAGCAGCAAGGTGAATCGTGTTCGGAGATCTGGTGCATCGGACTTCGGAATGTTCGATTTCGTTGCCTTGAAGTGCCTTGTATAGGGGGCCAGAGTATTGAGTAACGGCTTTCCTCAGCTCAGGTTGTCTGAGAAAGTCTTCTCCTGTAGCCCGTGTCCAGTTATCCAGGCCACTCCAAAAGCTGTCGGGCCAAGTAACTTCGATGGCAGACTGATAAAGAGGTTTAGGGCTTTGGGGTTTAGGGTTTAGGGGTTTAGGGTTTAGGGTTTAGGGGTTTGAGCAGTTTGTCAGAATGTCCCATCTAGTCTCTACCAGTGAGCCACATTGAGAAACCCCTGGTTTGACAAAGGCCCTTGTGCTGGCACCCTACACCATCCTAATCCCCAAAGGCCCCAGCCCCCCTAAACCCTAAACCCCAAAACAACTAAACCCCAAAACAACTAAACACTAAACCCTAAAGGCCCTAGCCCCCTAAACCCTAAACCCCAAACCCTACACCCTAAACCCCTAAACCCTAAACCCTACTGTTTCGGGTGCTCCTCGTGAGTAGCCCTAGACCCTGCAACCAGAAAAGCTTGGAAGCCTGAAGCCTCCTCCAAGCTCAAAACCTGGCTTACGGGATTACGTGCTTTAGGGTTCCTTTCAGGGTTTAAGGTTTAGGGCTTAGGGCTTAGGCTTTAGCTGTTAGGGGGTTTAGGGTTTAGGGTTTGCCTTATCATACTATAACGCGCTAGAAGATGGGTAGTCGTCTAAATTAGGGTCCCCCGTAGGGTCCTTTGTTATAAGGGTGCTCTACTATTTTGGGGGACCCAATAAAGGGACCCGATTTTAGAGAACTACCCATATACTGTATAATAATAATAATCATCATCATCATAATAATAATAACACTAGTAATAATAATAACAACAATAGTAATAATAATAATAACAATAATCAACACTAAAAATAGCAACAATAATAATAACAACAACAATAATAATAATATACTGAGACCCAGGGATGAGTGGGACCGACTGGTTGCTCCAGCTGCCGGTTCTGCAAACCAAGCGGAGTACGTCGACCAACGCGCTGCTGGCGGAAGTTGCTAGGTTCCTTAACCGGTTGCGGCGGCCGAGAACCCGGGGACTTAGATGATAGGGAGTTTATGGATCAAGGCCTATAAAGCCTTATTTGAGGTGAGTCTTTTGGGTTTAGGGGTTTAGGCGTTACAGGGTTTCGGGTTTAGGGCTTTAGGTGTTATAGGGTGTCGGGTTTAGGGGTTTAGGTGTTTTGGGGTGTCGGGTTTAGGGGTTTAGGACTTGGTTTGGGTTCCGGGGTTTATCTGCGGCGTGGCAGGAATTTAGTCTGCGATACCTGCAGGACATCATCAGCAGGACACCAGAGAATTCGCTACCATCCATATTCTGGTACTGCAAACAAAGGCCCAGCGAACATCCGAAAAGGCCACCTAAAATTCAACCCTGAGGCCAACAGCCCTAAACGGCCCGAAACCTAAAGCCTAAACCCTAAACCCAAGTAGATTGGTACATTGAACCTAAAGCCTACACCCTAAACCCAAAGCATCCAACATATCTAAAGCCCGCGACGCACTACACCACACAACCGCTCCTTTAGGTTGCGACCTCTTGGCCTGCGGAAGTCTTGGTTTGGGGGGCTTACGGTTTAGATGGGTTTTGGGTTTAGATCATTAGGGTTTAGGGATTGGGGTTTAGGGTTTAGGGTTTAGGGTTTATTGTTTAGGGCTTACGGCTTTGGAAGTTGGTCTTTGTTGCGCAGGCTGCGGGCTTGCATGTCAGGGCGTGGTCAGTATCTTGATTTGGATTTCGGCAACTGGCCGCAATCCCCAATCCAGAGCCCAAAAGTTTCACCATTTCAGACTCCATGAACATATTCTGACATCTGTACAACAACCATCAGCGTTCAGTCGGAGATGTGCAGCAGAACTAATCATCAAACGACGGTTTGGAAAAAGCCAAAGGCTTATACAGCTTCGTATGTAAATCACTGTTCTAAGTAGCAAGGCCCCTGTATTATGCCAGGTACGTACATCCGTTGGCTCCAGTCCTCAGACGACCCGAAGATCCGCCAGCAAGCGCCCGCCACTTCTCAACAACATGAATCGACTCCCTGGTTCTTAGTAGGGAATGGGGGAAATGGATCCCTACGATAGTCTCTTAAGGTCCCCTTATAGTCGTCCCCAAAACCCCATTCCTCCATTCCCTATACTAAGAACCATGTAGTCGACGTCCAACTTGTTTTCGGACCTCAGGGTTCGGGGATTTCAGTACCCTAAACCCTAAACGCTACTGTACCCGCTCTGCCTCAGAAGCTGCAAAGCAAGCTGCCTAAACCCTTCCAAGCCTCGAGTGCCTAAACTCAGCTCTTCAGAGTTGGAGATCCTTCTGCATTGAGGCGGTTTTGGGCTCTAGTGAAATTAGGGTACAACCCTAAACCCTACACCCTAAACCCTATAAGCCCTAAGGCCAAGTAAAGGAAGAGGTTGCAGGAAGGACGCCCCGGGCAGCGGATGCCACAAAGGAGTTGGAAGGCGCTTCCAAAGCTGAGCCCTTTGCTCTGTTGAGCGTAAGTCCCGAATCCAAAGCCCTCAACTTGAACCTTGCACTAAAACCCGAAACCCTAAAACCCTAAACCCTAAACTTATACAAACCCTAAACCCAATGACCCTAAACCCTAAACCCTAAACTTATACTAAAACCCTAAGCCCCCCGGCAGCACCTAAATGCCCTCTGGCCCCAAGCCCAAGCACTTGCAGGCCCAGGACGAGCCTAACTGGTTCTTAGTAGGGAATGGAGGAATGGGTTTCTGGGACTACTATAGGGGACCTTAAGAGACTATCATAGGGATCCATTCCCCCCATTCCCTACTAAGAACCAGGGAGAAGTCTACAATCCCCGAAGCCCGAGCCCACACCACCAGTCACAGGAGGACTATTGCCAGAAGTCCAGGCAAAGGAGCTTACACAACAGAGACCAAAAGAGACATGGTGCACGCTACACCAAGGCCTCAATCCATACTTCAAAACCCAAGCTCGGAACCCGAAGCAACAGTCGGCCGCGCTCCCTAAACCCTCAAACCCTGACCCCGAAGCTCAGGATTGTGCTGCCAACCAGGCTGCTCCACCCTGCAGCCTCCCTGGCAGCCCATCCAGCTTCGGCCACTTGCAAAAGCCAATGTAAGGGCCTCTATAATGATTAGAACAGGCTTTTGGTGTACATGATACTATAAAAACAAAAATACAAATAATAAGGCCCCCCCTAGAGTAATATAGGTAAACTATTCAGGCCCCTGCTATCTTACTGCATGGTTTCTGCACACTGCAGGATCCACTATGCGGGAACCTTCATTGTTTAAGATGATCAGGGCTTAGGGTTGAGAGAACGATGCTTCAAGATTTGGTGTCAACATAATCAAGGCCCTTCTCAGTGAAGCGTGGTAGAGGCCAGCCGTCGGACTGTCAAAAGAGGAGGTAGTGTGCTTGCCTTTTCCGTCTCTTCGAGGCGTCATTGTCAGGGGATACCGCAGTTCGTCAAGTTGTCTGTCTTGTTGCATTCTCGAACCCCACTAGAAAGCAGACCGCATACAAGGTTTATAAGAACCAAAACCTCGCACCCCTTTTTAGTAAGCCCTAAACCCTAAACCCCTAAACCCCAAATTCCTAAACCCCTGAACCCCTAAACGGCCCTAAACCCCTTAAACCCTAAACCCCTAAAAACCCTAGCGCTAATTTCGGGATCGGAGCAGGCCAACTACAAACATCAGGAGTATGAAGGCTTGATTCCCAAACCCTCAACCCGAACCCTAAACCCCAAGCCCGAAACCCTATAAACCCAAAAGCCTAAATCCTGTAACCCAAATCCCAAACCCTAAATCGCACCAAGGAACCCTGACTGTGGACTTGTCTGCGACTTTTCCAAGACCGTCCACACAATCTCGGCCAAAATGGAATCAGCGCTTCAACTGCCACTTCTTGGCAATGGGGTTTCGAGGTTTTGGGGCTTAGGCTCCAGGGTTGGGGGCGATGGAGTTGTCTACATGTTGATTCCTGTCATCTACATTTACGGTATAGCACATTCCGAGTCAGTTTTATCTGTCGGAACAGATGTAAAGTTGGAATAGCTGGGGTTTAAATTCGGAAGCTGTCGGAATGCCTGCTACTCATGGATTGGTGTGAGGGGTCATTGGATAGAAAGCTGGTTGGCTCTGAATGTTGGCTTTTTTGAAACTGGGGAACAGCATTACCAAGAGTTTCCTCCCAGAAATGCGGCCTTCACCCGAGGCTTAAAGCCTTGCAGATTCCGCATGAACTGCTCTGAGGATTGAGTCCTTCTCTTGAAGCTAGTGCAGCGAAGATTGTGGCAACGCCAGAACCGGAGTAGTAGGGTGGCTATACAACCCACCCAGGGCTGTGGAACAGTGAAGATTACTACGGAAAACGACTCTAACCCCTGAATCCATAAACCCTAATCCCTGATTCCTGAACCCTAACCCTACGCCTTAAACCATAAACCCTAAACCGAACCCTAAACCAAATTTTAGACCCTTATACACCCTAATCCAACTGTCCATCTTCGATGCCTTTGCCTTCTCGATGCAGGCTGCCTTGTCGTAATCGCGGCATGACACATGCCAGTGTCCACAACCCTCGAGCGCAAGTAACAGTCCCCATAAGAGTTCGTAAACATGTTCCTCTAAGAGTGTTCCCATAAGATGTTCCTCTCAGAGTGTTCCGATAAGAGTTCGTAGACGTGTTCCTCTAAGAGTGCCTCCAATTGCGGGTTCCTCTAAGGGTTCCTATCCTACACAAGTCACCAAAGAGTCCCTGTAAGGGTTCCTACAAGCGTTCCTACAGAGGTTCTATAACGGCTATATCCTAAACCCTAATTTTATAAACCCTATTTCGGGGTTCCTTCAATATAAGCGAACGAAACTCGGACCCTGATTGCATTTGCAGAACGAAAAGGCCCTTTCAAACGAAAACCGCAGACCAAAAGCAGCTAAATCCAAAAGTGCCCGGCACCCTAAACCCAAATCGACCCCTGAGCCCTAACCCAAAGCCCCAAAGACCCAAGCGTTTAGGGTTCAGGGTGCTGACTCTAAGCCCTACTTTTTCTGGGGGTCCCGAACAGACCTAAACTACCTGGTTCTTAGTAGGGAATGGAGGAATGGGCTCTTGGGACTACTATACGGGACCCTTAACAAACTATCATAGGGATCCATTCCCCCATTCCCTACCAAGAACCAGGGAGTACTTGGAGGTTCATGGGTAGTTATAAGTGGGGTTATAAGTAGGGTTACTATAGTTATAACCCAAATTAGGGGACTTATAACCCCTAAACCCTAAACCCGAATCCCTAAAGCCCCAGACCCTAAACCCTAAACCCCGGTTTAGGGCCACTTATAACTACCCATGAACCTCCACGTAAACCCCAGGCTCGATCAACCCCGGCCATGTGAACGACCATCGTCCAGCCGGGCTCAGGCTCAATTGGGTTTAGGGTTTAGGATCTATAGGGGTTTAGGTGTTTAGGGGTTTAGGGTTTGAGGCTTAGGGGTTTAGGGGTTTAGGGTTTTTTGGGGTTTAGGAGTTTAGGGTTTAGGGGTTCAGGGTTTGGGTATCTCTTGGGCTTTGAGCGGTTTTTTCCTCACACACGGTTCTAAGGTTTTTGAAAAGGTGGTTCGATAAAGTGCTGTTTTGGCTTCAGAGGGTTTTATTATAGAAGACTTTGTTGGTTTAGGGCCTGCATGGGGCTTTCAGAGTTTGTGTGGCTTTCAGAATTTCGGGTTTGGGGTCTGCTACACTGTTGCTCCGAGATTGGGGCTTTCGATTCGCTTTGAGGGCATGGTCTACACGGCCCCTCCCCCCCATCCGAAAAAAAGCCACAGAGCCCAACGCGCCCCTTCACTCGACTCCCTGAACTCAAGATGGGGCTCCGGCGTGGAAGGGCTTCCAAAGACCGGGTGTATACATGCTGCTGTTTTGAGACTTAATTACTGGGCTTGCTCTTGGTAGGTGGAAACATATTTCCGCTGTTTCAGATGCCCCGTAATCCGTGCAAGCCTGACTGGAACTTCCGCGCACGGGTGTTCAACCCTTCCTGTACTTCTTTACGCCTCAGCTGTCAGCTGCAAGTGCATGTGCCTATAGGCACCCTGTAGCACCTAGAGCCATAAACCCTATAAGCCCTAAACCGTAAACCCTACACCCTGTACCATCCTATACCCTAAAGCCCTAAGCCCTACACCCTATACCCCAAACCCTCAACCGTAAACCCTAAACCCTAAACCCTAGCCCAAAAGCCCCCAAGAGAGCTCAAGACCGCAAAAAAGCAGCGGCAGGCAGTATTTCCAGCGCGAGCAGTCCATGCCGGAGCTGATCCGCTTCTGGGAAGGTGCGGTAGGGTAAGGTTTGGGGTGTGGGGTTTAGGGTTTTAGGGTTTAGGGTTTGGGTTGTAGAGTTTAGGGTTTTAGAGTTTTTAGGGTTTAGGGTTTAGGGTTTAGGGGTTTAGGGTTTGGGGTGCAGGGTTTCGGGTTTAGGGTTCCGGGTCGACATGGAGGAGAGGCGCCCGGCGGCAGTGAAGGCTACTAATCATGGCTCAGGGGGTTCAGGGTGTTAGGGTTCAGGGTTTAGGGTTCAGGGTTTAGGGTTTAGGGTTTAGGGGTTTAGGGTTTAGGGTTTAGGGTCTCGCAGTTTCAGTGGTTAGTGGTAAAGGCAGTAATGGTTAGTGGTAAAGGCAGTAATGCTTCACACGAAAACCCCTGCAGACTCCTATGCAGCATACGCCTTCAAGGCTCTGTGCTCAGGCCCCCTAAACCCTTAAATCCTACACCCTAAACCCTAAACCCTGAACCCTGAACCCTATAAACCTACACCCTAACCTAACCCCGCAACGAACACAGCGAAAGTCCAAAAGACCGGCAAGGCCGAACTTGTCAAGACGACTGGCTCCAAGGTTTACCCATAGGCTCCATGGTAGTTTCTTTTCGTGGTTTATATTCAGGATCCTCTGAGGTAATCCCAAAAACGAACTACGATGGAGCCTCAGGGTAGGGATAGTATAAGGGGTAAGAAAATTACCAAGATGATGGATAACGGCTCCTCATTATAACTTGAATATACTCGCATACCCTCAAGCCATACTCTAATCATTAAGGCCCCTATTCCAACAGCTAAGGCACTTATAACCTGACTGTGATCCTCCAAGTCAGCCGTAAACCTGCAACACCGACACAACAGCTCCCAACATGTCAGGGCACGGCGGCTCGACGTTTCGGAGACCCGTCTCTAGTGAGATGAAAAGTGTTTTGGTCAGAGAGGGTTCAGGGTCATGTTCCGAGTGCCGGAGTTACAGCGTCTATTCACTTGTCATGTTGTTGATTGGCAACCTGGTCAAACCAATATCTAAAATCCCGAATACATCTACCTACTGTTGATGATATAAATCCTGCATTACCTTAAGGACCCTAGACTATGGGAATTATGGAATACTATGGAATATTCCTTATTATGGGTAATGCAGGATTTATATCATCAACCGTATTGTTCCTGTCCGTCGTCTGACTATGGTGTCGGAGGTCCCTACACGTAGTGATGGAAGCCTGCATGATCCGGAATCAGGGGCTTCACTCCCTTAGACTTCTTAGCCCTACGTCTCAGTGTCGGACGCCGTTGCTCTTCCTGGACCAAGAAGCCCTGATTGATACTTCAGGAGCCAGAATCATTGCCAATACTATTCCTCAAAATCCTTGGTTCTGACTATAGACAGATATACTGCAATATCACCAAAAAAAATCCTATCCTTATTCTGAGGCCCTTGTTTCATTGTGTTTCCGCTCAAACCTAGACCGTGGCGAGGACCCCCACCTTCACTTACGGCTACGGGTTTAGAGTTTAGAAAAGCAGCAAGAGAAGTACATCCGCCCATGCCCCACAGCCCAAGTCTAAAGCGTCACGGAGAAGCCCGTTTTGAATCCTGAAGCATCTCAAAACGATCCACATCACCCAGCCTTAGAACTTTACGGTACAAAGCTACATTGTTGTAATATACATTATGTTACAACTATAAGTATGTTGAGTAACCGCACCGAGGAAACACCTGGATGCCATGAAGTCACCAGCTGCTACAGCTCCGCCGTGCAAGCTCTTCCCGAAGTCGCTGTCCACGGGGGGAGGCTGGCTGGTGGGTTTTGGGTTTTTGGGAGTGTGGTAGCCAGAGGATTTGAGAGACCTTCGGTCTGTGGTCGCACGATGTGGTGGCTGGTGGGTTTATGAGGGTTTTGGGCATAGTTTCCTGAAGCCTCGAAGCTGTTTCGAGAATCTTCGTGCTACTTCGGCTCAGTTTTGTGGGTAGGCTGCGATTTTGCGATTTGTGATGTGTGCAGGTTTGGGTTTTCCGTTTCGATAATTTGGGATTTCCGAGCTTTTGAAATCCAGTTAAGCGTCCAATTTCAAGCTTTGAGTGGCCCAGATAGACATAGATATAGATATTGACTAAGATGCAGATATAGATATGTATATTAATACATGCTGCAAACATATGTATATATATATATACATACACACACATAAGGTCTTTTGTGTTTGACTAATCATACGAATCATAACCATGATACTGATGCTAGAAATACCATTAATAGTGATGGTAACAAGAAAAAAGTGGCCTCGACAATTGGAGCAGGGGTCAGAGCCATTGAAGGGGCTATCACCAGGATACACTGTAGATACTTATCCCGACGCTTATGGTTGATGATATAAATACCATATTTCCCATAGTTTAGGGTCCTGTAGGTAATGCTACGGATTTACATCATCAACAGTATGTTGCGGCTTCACGTTTCAGGGTGTAGGGTTTTCGAACCTAGACCCCAAACCCTACACCCTAAACCCTAATCGCGTTTCAGGGTGTAGGGTTTTCGAACCGATACCCTGCCTGAGCGCCCAAGGCGGCCCTATGACAATGCCACAACGGCACTCGCCTGGCGGTTCCATGCGAGATCTGCTCACTGGGGAAGCAGCTTTGCTTCAAGAGCTAGCTGTGATATGGGACGGACCGGTTACTGTCCTTTACCAAAATTTTTTTATCAGAAGAGCTAGACAGCTAGAACGCGGGTTTCGGGGCCCCAATTAGTGTCGGCTGTCCTGATGTTTGGCCGTTTGCCACAATGTGTGCCCATCAAGAACATCAAACATAGCGTCATCGTTAAAAAACAAGCTGTTTCAGTGACTTAAATAGCCACCATGACCACGAGCAGCCTCACCATCATCAGCCGCGGTAATTTCATCATCAGCATTTTTCATTGGTTGCATCATCATCGCGACCATAGCTTTTTTTCTGTGTTCGTGCCATGAGGTGTGGCACCTCTTCTGCACCATCACCTCGCCGTCGTTGTCTTCCTCCGTCGTGTTCGTGGTCGCGGTAGTCGTCGCTATCGCCGTTGTTGTCCCCCCTCGTCCTCATCCAACCAGCAGCGCCATCACGAGAACAGCAGCAGCGCCAGCAGCAACAACGCATCGCAGCCGCGGCAGCAACACCAACAGCAACAACGACCGCAATATCAGATGCAAGAGCGCCAGAATCACCCGGCCGTTATTTTGCTCCCACCACTCACCGGGCAGAAGATTACCGCAACACAAACCATGTGGAAGTTGATCCCTGCGCTCCATATCCTTGCAGGTAGTGGCCTGGCATGTTACTCGGCTCCCTGTTTCGGCAACTTCTGATTGGGTTGATTATCGCCCCAGACCTTAAACCACAGATACCCTAAGCCCGGTTTCCGGAAATATTGAGTCGGATGTCTGGTTCGGGCCCTCAGCCTGTGCTTCATCAGGGCAGAAGCCAAGACGACAAGGGAGCAACATTTTTGACTACAAGACCTCTTCATGAGAGCAGCCAGTTGCAATAGCCGTCATCGTGTGTGCTTGAAGGATCATGCGACTCAGTACCGAGGGTCATGAATGAGGTAGTTGCAAGTACATAGAATCAGTCATATACTCCAAACTGAGATACTTATAAGCTTACTGGCCTGTTAGGAAGCATAACAGGGATCGTAATATCAGGGCCGTGTAAAGAGGTGTTTTCAGGTTTAGGATGTAGGGATAAAGGGTTTACTAAAGAGGCCTAAGTAATTACCAATACTTGTTAGTAGGGTTCCTTTTTATAGCTATAGTAGAATATAGCCCCAACGCCTTGTTCTAATTACTGAGGCCCCTATAATCGATCGCCACATTTGGGGGCGAACTGAGGACTATTGGACTCCGCCTGCTCGGTACAGGCTCGGTTGAACCTGTTTTGCCGGACGTGTTTATCGCGTTGAGGGGTTTAGGGTTTTGGGGTTTTGGGGTTTAGGGTCTGGGGGTTTAGGGAATATGGGATTAGGGTTTAGGCGTTTAGGGGATTAGGGTTTAGGAGTTTAGGGTTTTAGGCTTGAGGGTGTAGGGTTAAAGCGGTTAAAGCTTGAAGTTGCAAGACTATAGTGCTTTGTGGAGGAGGAGGAGGAGGAGAGAATGAGTTCTGAGCCCAACAGGGATTGAACTGGGATTCTCCTATTCGGGCCCGTACATGAACGTGGGGTGTAATCAATCAGGAATCGATATTATAGAGCAAGCTCTAAATTCCAGCGTTTTTGCTGGAACACTAAATTTGCAAACCAGGCCTTAACGCCTTTGACCGACATGACCTCCGTAAGCCAACTGTTGGCCCCGTTGGGCATGAGCTCTTCGAAGCATAGAATCGGAGCGAAGGACCCCTAAACCCTAAACCCTAAACCCTAAACCCACACGCAACAGTCGACACCCTCTGTGCGGGTTTGGCCCTGGGCCATTTTGGAGGGATCACCGGCTTGAGACTTGGAGGTAAGCAAAAAACCCTAAGCCCTATAAACCCTATAAGCCCTCTAAGCCCTATAAACCCTATACACCCTATAAACCCTATAAACCCTATAGACCCTATAAACCCTAAACCCAAAAAGCCCCATAAACCCTATAAGCCCTATAAACCCTAAACCCTATAAACCCTATAAACCCTATAAGCCCTATAAGCCCTATAAACCCTAAACCCTAAACCCATGGTTGTTGGGTTTTGGGGTTTGAGAAAGCTTTCGGAAGACTCGCGACGCCGACCCCGAGCCCCAAACCTAAGCCCCCGACTTGAAACTTTGAGATCCAAAAACGGCAATCCCTACAAAGGTTTAGGTTCTAGGGTTTAGGGCTTAAGGGTTTAAGGTTTGGGGGCGACGCCCTGACTTAAATCTCCTCCACAGGCGGCCGTTCCACAAGCAAGACCGCCCGCTTCTGCCGTTCGAGACCTTCGGTGACGTCGTGGACGCGAGTGTGTGGAGCTCGGAAATCCTCCAGTGTTTAGGGCTAAGGGGTTTAGGGCTTATAAGGGTTTTGGGATGTAGGTTTAGGATTTCGCATGTTTAGCCAGCCATTAAGGCCCTAAACTCTAAAGCTCCTAAGAAGTGCTGAGCCTGCAGATTCCATCGATGCGGAGACCCCAAAGCTGATAAAGTACTAATCCGACAACATCGTCGACTGAACTCAAGCCCTACCATAACTACTGTACTTTTACGTAGGGTCTCGAAATAAAGCCCAAATTAGGGTTTATATTGGCTTAAAATTAGAACCCTACAAAAAAAGCAGGTAATGGTAGGTTAAGGTAAGTCTCTACATACAGCCCGCCCACCACGTCTTTCATGATATAGCACACCGCAAGAGCCCCGGAATGCCGACGCCCCCGCTGCCAGAAAATCGATTCCTCTCCATCGACACTCCGGCGGCAGAACAAGATGCTTGCTGCGCGGCGCTCTGCATTTCAACCCTAAACCCAAAACCCTAAGCCCTAAACCCAAAACAAAATAGAGGTAGGGTCTAGAGTTTAGGAATTAGGGTTTAGGGCGGGTTTCAAGGCTCGGCTTACGGGGTAATGGGCTAAACCCTAAACCCTAATCCCCCAAACCCCCAAACCCTAGACCCCTGAACCCTAAACCCCTAAACCGTAAACCCCTAAACCCTAAAGCCTAAACCCCAAATCCCTTATACCCCAAAACCCCTAAACCCCTATAAACCCTAAACCCCCATACCCCTAAGCCCCTAAACCCTAAACCCCTATACCCCAAAAACCTCTATAACGGGTTTCGGGCCGGTGAGGCCTTTACTCGGAAGACGGGGACTTCGAAGGTTCGCAGTCCTTGGGGGATGTTTGTCCGCCCGCCCGCTGGTATCGGTTTAGGGTTTAGGGCTTTAGGGTTTGAGGTTTAGGGTTTTAGGGTTCAGGGTTTAGGGTTTAGGGTTTTAGGGTTTGGGGTTTGGGGTTTAGGGAACCACGGGAAGGGTCAACTTAGATCCGGTGGATGTCGCAGTGCAAGACGGTTCTCACATCCCTGAGCGATGTTGACCGAAGTCCTGGGGAGCTGGGCAAGCAGTCTCTTCCCTTCTTTTTACCTGTTCGAGCCTTGCTCTTTTGCGTGTTTCGGTTTGGCGAATTCAGAGCCGGAGTGCTGACGGTGCTACAGCAGGATTTGATGGAATTTAGAGGGGGGCTGAACCCCAAACCCGAAACCCTAAACGCCCTAGACTCTAAGCCCCAAACCCTAAAAGCACGGGGCCTATAATTCAGGTCGCCCTGTGTTTGCGGCTGTGGATCTTCGTGAAAGAACCGCTTCCTGGTCTATACGACCGTCCGATGGCCTTCCATGAAAATGGCTACACACGCTAAACTGCAGAACCTCTTCCGTAATGCCGAGACGTCATACATGCATGCAGACATTGCGTTACATAGAGCATTACAGTACATGCAGATATACATGCTTACATGCAGACATACGCACATACATGCGTACATACATACATACATACATACATACATACATACATACATACATACATACATACACACACATATATATATATATACCTGGTTTCCGACGCAGCAACGAAGTCTTGCGATGCTGGGCAATCGGATGTGACTGGCATCTCACGGATGCATGTCCCTTCGGACATAGGAAGCACCAGGGCAACTGAGACGTGGAATAGGGAACAGGGAGTGAAACCGACAGTAAAGCTGCGCTGAGGTGCTACAGAAAGGTACAACCAGGGCAAGCCACTCGGCATGTCCGCCCCGTAAGCAATGGCTTTGCCCGGATTGATGCTTCGACGACTATTGAAACTGCCC